GCTTGAAGGATACAGGGTGCTTGATATGACGAGAGTCCTTGCCGGGGTAAGACAGAACATGCAAGACCTCAGTACTTAAACAAAAAATAAATGGCTAACGAGGATGTCCACAGCCTTACTGTACACAAATACTGGGCGATCTTGGGTATGTTGGGTTGGAAGACAGACACTCGAGAGCATTGCTGACATTCCGTAGCGCCGAGGTGATTAAGGTGGAACATCCGATCCGGGGCGACGACACGCGAGCATGGGGACCGCCGTATGCCCAATACAAACCGGGTTCATCCCACAAAGGGCCCGGTGAGTCCGCGTACTTTCTTGGGGTAGTGTTTACTTACTAGAGCGCACCGAGTACTCATCGGCGCTAACACACGTCCAGGTTAATCGCAATAAGAAGTCGCTGGCGCTCTCCTTTCAAGAACCGGCTGGCGTTGAGATTCTCCACGAGCTCGCCGCCAAATGTGACATCCTTGTAGAGAACTACATCCCGGGCGCACTCAAGAAGTATGGCATGGACTATGAGTCGATCCGAAAGATCAACCCAGGCCTCATCTACGCCTCCATCACAGGATATGGACAGACGGGGCCATACTCACAGCGTGCTGGCTATGATGTCATGGTGGAAGCCGAGTTCGGTCTGATGCACATTACCGGAAACCGGGATGGACCGCCGGTCAAGGTCGGCGTGGCCGTGACAGACCTCACTACGGGACTGTATACGAGTAACAGCATCATGGCAGCGTTGCTGGCTCGTGCCAAGACCGGCAGAGGACAGCATATCGACGCGGCTTTGAGCGACTGCCAGACGGCTACGCTGGCCAATATTGCTAGCAGCTGCCTCATTAGTGGAGAGAGGGACACTGGGCGGTGGGGAACAGCGCATCGTAGGTTGTTCCCGTCTCTTCTTGTTGCTAGGTCACTGCTAACTGACAACCGCAGCGTCCATTGTACCATATAAGTCCTTCGAGACCAAGGACGGCGATATTCTGTTCGGTGGAGGAAACGACCATCTGTTTGGCATCCTCTGTGATGGGATCGGTCGGCCTGAGTGGAAGGAAGATCCAAAGTTCAAGATCAACGCGCAGCGAGTTGCGCACCGCAATGAGCTCGAGGGGGCGATCGAAAGTATTACGGTGACGAAGACGACCCAGGAATGGCTCGACCTATTCGAGGGCAAAGGGCTGCCCTATGCTGCCGTCAACGACGTCCTGGCGACGCTATCGCATGATCATACCAAGGCGAGGGACATGGTGATCGAGGTGGACCACGACGAATGCGGGCCGATAAAACTGGTCAATTCGCCCGTCAAGTACTCGGAGACGAAACCTAGAGTCAGGAGCCCGCCGCCGACGTTGGGGCAGCATACGGATGAGGTGCTTCGGGAGCATCTGGGTCTGGATGCGGCTCAAATTCGCCAGCTGAGGGAAAACGGAGTCGTTAGATGAGTTCAAGGTTTGAACCTGTGCTAGGAAGAAGTTTAAACCACCCGCAATAGGCGACTGTAAATATGGAAGGAACAAGGTGATGTCCAAAACATGGAAGTTGTGACCCAGTTACTGAAACAACAGGGTTAGGGTAAAGCACGTGCCGATCACGTGTTTCTTGAGATGAAATCGCAAAACGACACGCCATCTTGGTCTCTGCTTCCTCCGCGAAAACCCGACGGTCTATTCACAATTTTGATCCATTTCGCAACATCGCTGGGCAGAACACGGTGCATCGAAAACGAAGCATGAAGGGCCAGGAAGGTCAAACTGAAGCGACCCCCCCGACAACCCAAAAAAACAACGACCGCCGCTTCGCCTCAATTGAAGCAGAGCGCAAATGCAGCCCCACTTAACCCGAGCTCAGCGACTCGACTAACAGCGGCATGGTCTGGGCGTCCCATAACCGAATCCTCAGCAACAAGCAAGCATTTGCAGTTCCCACGATGGCCGACTCAGCACCAGCAGACGACCGCCATGATAATGCACGCGGCTCTAAACGCGACGCCCCTGCCGAAATGGCTCTCCCGCGTCTCGCGCAAACACAGGTAGCTGCAGCAGCATCCCCCTCGGCGCCTTCGTCCCCGGCCGTGAGGGCTCCCTCCTCCTCGTCGGCAAAGCCACCGTATGTCCCCCAGTTCTCGGCTGCGACGCAGATGATTCTCAACCGTATGAAGGGAGAGCCTGCCAGTCTCTCTGCCGCACTGTCGAGGCCCTCGCCGTCCATGACAGTCGGCAGCATCCCCCAGCCCACGTACGAGGATGTCAAGCGCAGACTCGTGATGGGTATGAACACCTCTACATCTATGACCTTGCAGATGCCTGCACCACGCCCGTCCGCCTCGCCTGCGCCTTCCCTCGCTCACGCTCATGCTCCCACGCCCGCCACCACTCTCCCGTCGCCCGTGCTTGCCGCTGCGCGCCACAAGCTGCCGGCCTTGAGCGCTATTAGGAGAATCTCAAGTGGCCTGACTGTGTCGGGAAAGGTCCCGGTAGCCAAGGCACCAAAACCGGCGCTGACCGAGGGCGGCAAGATCAAGAAGCAGCCCAAGACGGTCACGGGCCCCCGGGCAGCAGCAGCTGGCAACAAACGGAAGCGCGTCAAGGGCCAGAATGACGATAGCAGTAGTCTGTCCAGTCTCTCGGACGTCTCCGAGCCAGAGACCTCGGCCGAGAATCCCGTGCACACCAAGACGAAGTCGGGTCGGCAGGTCCAGAAGCCCTCGACCTACAACCCAGCGGCCATGGAAGCCGGCACCAGGAAGCGCGTCCACTACGGCAAGCGCACCGTCGAGCAGGCCCTGTGCAAGCACTGCACCCGTATGGCCAGTCCCGCGAGCAACCAGATCGTGTTTTGCGACGCGTGCAACGACCCCTGGCACCAGCGGTGCCATGACCCGTGGATTGACGACCAATTCGTGAACGACCCGAATAAGGCGTGGTACTGCCGCACCTGTCAGGCGAAGCGTGACCTCAAGGCGGGGCCCAAGAGGCAGAAGCTCGAGCAGCTGCCTAAACCTAAGGAGGACTGGGCGAGCAAGACGCCGCAACAAAAGCGCGCCTACCTGTCCACCCTGCCACAACAGGAGCTTGTGGCCTTGCTGATGAACAGCCTCGAGCTGCACCCCGACCTGCCCATTTTCCCTCCTTCTGCCGACTCTGACGAGGGGAACGCTCAGGGCGTTCCGCCGCCGGCACGGCGGTCTCTGTTTGCGGGCGCAACGACAGAAGGCCTGTTCCCGCGCTCCGATGCGAACCCCTACGCCCGCATTAACTACATCCGCCCGATCCCGCCCGGCGTCAAGCCGGCTGTGGTCAGGCCCAACCGTCCCATCACTGGCTCCAAAAAGGACTCGAACAACTCCAACAACAACAGCAATAAGGAAGATAGCCAGGAGCGCCCGGCGGACGAGGGTGAAGACGCGGAGTTTGATCCGCTAGCCCCGCTGTGGCCAAAGTCAGGCATGGGCCTGTATAGCAAGCTGCCGCCTGACACGGAAGACGACGCGCGCCTGGTCGATGACGACGACTATGAGGCGTTTAGCGTCATCACGTACAACGAGCGGGGGCAGAAGCTCAAGGAGAATGGCATGCCCGTTTAGTTATATGGCGGCAGCCGGTTTTGGGCTTTCTCGGCGGTTTAGCGCAGTCGATACAAGACAAGGTCAGTCAGGTCAGTCAGTCATAGCGATAACAAGCAAAGGATTTAGACTTGATAGCATGCGAAGGCGGATTTCTACTAGCATTTGCATGGTCCTTTCGCCCCTTTGTTCCCCCCGCTGCTAATTCCCTGCTTTTCCAACAATTAATTCCTTCTTTTTGACGGAGTTAATTATCGTCATTATAAAGGGTAGGAAAAATGAGCATATCGTTCTTGTAGTACCTCTTGTTCACTACTACTATACACACGACTAATTAGATGCTTCTGCACGTCGTAGCGCAAAACAAACAGTCTTGACCCTTACATTGCGACTTTGAACTTGATATCGTTAACTATAATCCCTAAGGAAACTTGCCTGCTCCTATTTTTTGTGAAGATGAGAACCAGTAAAAGAGACATTGTCTGTTTATTGTTGTTGTGCTAAAACAATACCACCATCTTGTAAACCTGCCAACGGACGGCTGGACGCCTTGGTTGCTGGCTTTTTTCCCTTGTTCGCTCCTTGTCCAGGAAGAGGAGGTAGATGATAGCCAATGTGCCGCCGTGAGATGAAACCGAGGTAGGTAGGAAGCGGGCCCACGTTACTGCCAAGCTTGACCGGACTGAAGCTTTTGCTGGAGACAGAGTGGGATGGATAGGTGGGATGAGTTTTTACATCCGATGTCTGAGCGGAGCGAATGTGGGCTTTGGGTCGTCATAATTTTGTGTGCTCATTCATCTGATCTAAAGCTGTCGTTTTTCAACGGGGTTTCTTCTCCCTTTTACCTTTCCCCCCTCTTCTGCTCCTGGACCACGAGTGTCACTGAAGCTGCCATGCAGTTCAACTCGTTTGTTAGATAGAGCGGGATTTCTGGGCAAGTTTAGCTAGCAATGATATTAATATTTCATGGATTTGACATGGAGATTAATTGCATCTACTGGCACCGCGATCATGTTGAAACTAGGTAGTTATGTCAACGTTGGTGCCCGCACCCCTTCGCACTTTCAGACATTGCAGTTCGGACGAGGCCCATCTTTTGCTTATTACTCGTCCCCCTCGCTTTGAGTAAGTTCCCTTCTTCTTCTCCCTCTTTACTTAAACTTACTGGGAAAAAAGGGGACGTAAAGGAAGACGAGCGACTGAACTCTGTGTGGAGGGATATTGTGCCTGCCTGCATAGCGGTTCCCGAAACTTCAGCAGGAGTCCCCATCCTGTTTCCCAAACACAATCTGAGATGACTTCTGAACGGCATCTGAGACCTTCATTTTCGGAAAGGTATCGGCGCTGTTTAAACAACCGGGAAAGAAAGTTCTGATCTTCGTCCGTAAGAATTCACAAATTAACCCAAAAAATGGGGACAAAGTAACTAGATAGATGCGTCAAGAGGGAATCGAACCCCCTCCTCAACTTTGGAAAGGGAAACTTTCTTGGAAGAGTTGAATGCTAACCACTATACCATTGACGCTTGATACAAAGATGGAAGTCGGGCGCGGAGTTTGAGGTTATGATGATTTGGGAGGAGCGTTTGCCATGTGCCCTTTCTTTCACCTCGAGAAGCCAGATCTTGACGAGAGAAATTTGACGTAGCTGTGCCACTGGAAATGACAACCTGAAACTGAAGAGACAATTTGCTGTTATGGCTTGCCGCAAACTCGGAGAACTAACGTGCTACAGACATCATAGTTCAGAGACTATGTGTGAGGTTGAAGTTGCAGCCTTTCCTTGGCACCGTCTGTTACACAGATCGCCCTACTCCGAGACTAAGGTCTCTTGGGATGTTTGCAAGGAACATACTATGGTATTAGTTATATATTTGGTCGAGACGCCGACCGAGCTCCCCATTCTTAGGCTCTCTCTGCATTAGGAAATCCAGGCAAGATTGTTGTGGTTTTATGTTGCCAAGTGAACGAAATGAGATTAACATGACCTTGCCCCTCCAAGGCTAAAAGAGCGACAAGTTTTCGGGGGGGGGGGGGGGGGGGAGGCTGAGAGACCGAGTCTTCAGAACAGCCCGAATTCGGGTTAAAATACCACTCAACGGACAAGGTTCTCGAATAGATCCTTTTTCCAACCTGCCGGCACACTCATTAGTTGTGGCGACAAGCTTGCAGTCCTCCCTTTTCGAACAATATCTGCTGTGCCACCATACTGAGCAGACTTCAGTTTGATATACGTAAAGCGCAGCGTCTTGCCGACAATAGAAATCTGAGTCATGGCTGAGCCTGGTAATTATCCTCCTGGCATCGAGATCTAGCAAACCAGAGAGACTATTCAAGAAGGGGGTCACACGATGATAAAGCCGTCCTGCCTTGCCTGGTAAACAGGTAAGCTTACGGTTACCTGCCGGCTCCTTCAGAAGGTGGGCTCATGCACGGAGGAGGCTCCCCGCGGCATCAACCCCTGATCTCAAAGACCGATTTGGTATTGACAACAACAATCCCCAATAAATCGAGATCACTGCCGCCAAAGAGTACAACAGACAAATGCCGTTCTTACCAATCTCTCGGCTTCCAACCGATCCAAGGAATTTCGATGAGGAGTGTTCCATCAGAGGGTGTGTAGGGCTGACAGCGCTGAACGATCCATGGAAGCAACCTCCAATCTGGACGGCCCGAAGCTCAAGGGCTTGGCGATAAGCCCCCTGAAAGCTGGAGGGTCACTCTGCCTCGCGACTGGCTGCCCCCTCCAAGACAAAATCCTTCCTACGAGTCACCGACGGGTGTGGCTGCTGACATCTCCACTGCTACCACCCCTCCAATGGCGCCCCCTGCGACTCTTCAGACAGCCATGTTTCCTTGTCCCATTGTTACGTTCTCGCAACGTCCGACGACCGAACGACTGACCGGTAGCCATCAGCCGCTCTCTTCTCGCGTCTCGTGTCACCATCCACCATTTTCCATGTCTAACAAAAATAAGCGGTGGATGCGTCGCAAATTAGAACTCCCCAAAAGGCGGTGCGCTAAGACCTGGCACTATGGATCGCCCGCGAGGCTGGCGCGATTTTTTTTTGGGAGGGATCCTCTGCGCTGGCTGAAGTAGAAAAGGACGACGACCACCCTCTTCGAGGTTTGTCGCGGTCAACCTGAGTGTCCGAATCTCCGAGAGAATTTTATTTTCTGGCGGGGATTAGATACGAAAATCTCAGCTTGTTTATTTTATGCTTTTTCTTGTCTCTGTTGGAGGCAAACCATTCTGTACACACCTACAGTTCAGATTAGCGACAGCGAGCCAAGCGCTATAAACAACCCCCTGTGGCAGATTTATCAGAAATCCGGAACCCGGGGCCCGACAAGCAAGCAAGCAAGCAACCACTCTATCTAGAATACTGCAGTACAGTACCTACTGTACAGCACAGCAAACCCCGCCCGCGATGGCGTCCTCCAGCCGGCGCGGTCCAACCACGGAAGACCTGGACGAGCAATCCCCTCTCCTGAAGCACAACGCTTCCGGGTCGGGGTTCTCGTCCATCAACCCGGTAGCCCCGCGGCCCGCGTCCATCAAAACGGACATTCCCGCGTCTGAACCAACATCTCAACCGGAACCGGCTCCGTCCGTTGTATCTGATGCCGCCCCGGTTCCGGCAGCAGCAACAACACCAACACCGCCCGCCGCTCTGGTCAAGTCCGACACAGACGCAACATGGGGCGACGCAGCGGGCCTGCACGTGCGCCAGGCCAACGACGAGAACCTGGTCATCTTCCGGCGGGCCGTGGGGATCAACATGGGCCTCTCGGCGGGAATCGACAGCCGGTCGCTGGAAGAAGGCCGCCAGCACGCCATGGGCATGTACGCGTCCACGCTGCGGGCTCAGTCGCGCAAGAACATCATGTACCTCATCCTCACCACTCTGATCTACACGTCGCACTTTAGCCAGATTATTGTCGGTGCGGCCATGACGGCTCTGTAAGTCTTTTTTCCCTTCTCACTTCCTTCCTCACTTCAAATCCTCCATCCATCCCTCATTGTAATGTACATCTCCTCTTGATGATACACCCCTAAAATATGCTGCAGGCAGGCAGGCGGGCAGGCGGGCGGGCGTACAAGATAGGAGAGCGAAGTACAACATAAAATTATATCTCCTCATGTGTACTAACAGTCACCCAAAAAGAGGCCCAACAGCAGGCGAACATACTTTTCTCATCACCGTCCTCGGCGCCGTAAACACCATCGTCGCGGGCCTCCTCGCCCTCGTCAAGGGCCAAGGTCTCCCCGAGCGCCTCCGCAAGGACCAAGCCGAGTTCCGCAAACTGCAAGACTGGATCGAGCAGACCGAGGCCCTTTTGGCCGTGGGCGTGATCGGGCGCGACCGCAAGGAAGTCGGATACCTCGTGCAAGTCGCGTTCAAGAAGTACAACGCCGCCAAGGCGTCCGAGGAAAACAATGTTCCTGAAAACTACGTGCGCGCCCCCGGGGATGTGGGCAATGGGGATCCTCCTCAACGGTCCAGTAGTCCGGGTCCTGCGTCATAGGCTCCCCCATGTCCCCATGTTTGTGTTGGACAGGGTTTGTGTGTGTGCTGGCAAGAGGGGAGGAAAGAAGAGAGGGAAGGATGATCAAAGTTTGATGATGGCTGATCGAACATCTTGTGCGAGAAGACGTCTGTTTCAATGTGTTGAATTGTTTTTCAATGTGTTGGATTAAAGGCGTTTGCCTGTCACAGTCAGAACACTTCGAGGGCAACCCCCCCCCCCCCCCCCCCCCCCGAAACATGTCTGTTGGATATAACATGAACAGCCTTGTTCGTGCTGGAAGCAACCGCATGGCCGAGCTATGAGATCCATCATTGTTAAAGAAAGCTTTGAAGGCTGTAGTCATCAGTCCTCTGGGAGAGTCCGACTGCGTTCACAAGTCAGCTGCTGTCGCCCGCGGATTAGCAAAGAACCTGCAATCACAGCCAGGGGATGAAGTCGAACATACCGAGAACGGGGAAAACGTAGGACGGATCCAAGAGCAAAGAGGAAGATAGTTCTTCGCTCTCGAGCAAAACTAGTAGTAACAGCAATCATAGCCACCTAATTGAGCAACCTTCTCGACCTCAAGACAGCAATAACTAAAACAGCAGGGCGGATCCAAGAGCAAGGAGGCAGACACTTATTCGTTCTCGAGAAAAAAACTAGTAGCAATAATAATACCCGAATTGAACAAGCTTCTCAAACTCAAGATTGCTAGCAATAATTAAAGCAGTTTAAACGCACAGTCAGATACATGACAAAAGAGAACGAAAGAAAAAGACACATACGTGTCGTGGGAAGAAACTGACAAAGGAAAAGCGAGCGCCGCGTAAAGCGTATCCCAAATCGATATCCCCGTGCCCCCGTCACCAAAAAAACTCCCAAATAAGACATACACACATATTACATATCCAAACAAATCCCATTGCGTGACCCATCACCATCACCATCATTGCCCATCAGCATACATCAATGCAGACCTGACGTCGCCACCTCACCACCTACGCAAGCAGCCACTCCTTGTTGGCGACATGCGTATAGTTGACACTCCACCTCGACTTGACCGTCGTTCCGTTGACCCCATTTCCATGCGATCCCTTGTGGTTTAGATTTTCATCGCTTCCAAGGAGAACATCGCCATCCAGCCTCCACTCCCACTCTCGCGGGCCGACATACATGCCAATCATATCGTCCGGCTTGCCCTTGTTGGCCGCCTTGGTCCAGGTCTCGGGCGCTGGACCCTTCAGGCCGGCCTTGCCGAGATAGCCTTGGAGGCGCGAGTGAAGGTCGACAAACTCGTGCTCGGGCTTGATCCATCTGCCAAGGCGCAAATGGGCGCGCTTGAGAAGCTCAAGCTGCCAGCTCGCCGTCTTGGCGAGTTCCTCGAGATTCGGCTTGGCGGGGAGGGTAAGCATCTGACCAGACTTGTTGCCGTTTCCGTTTGCCGCCTGGTAGATGATCTCGGGCTTGCGCTGAATGAAGCCGTCCTCGCGAAGCGCCGCATCAATCTCTCGCAGGATATCCTCGTGAACCAAGATGCATCGGTCCAGGCGGTCGTCGATCTGGTACAAGGCGGCCAGCATCTGCGACATCTCCACCGTTACCGGGTCCAGATTACCACGGCTGCGGCGCAAGTTGTAGCAAATCGTCTCAGCGAGGTCGATCGCGGCTTGGGTGTTCTTTGCGGCCACATGGGCATGGACCAGCAGCCGGCCGACGTTGAGAATCCGGCCGATGTCCCATGTCTTTTGCACCTCGCGAGACTGCCACAGCCTAAGGAGAAGGGTCTCCAGCTCTCCGTAGTTCTGCTGGCTCCCCAAAAGACGGACGATGCCACTGAGGTCCTCGAATCTCAGCCGCACAAACTCAATGTTGTTCGCCTTGAAGATGGCTAGCGCCTCCGAGGTAATCTCCCTGGAGAGTTTGAGGAACTCGGCACCAAGCTTCGGATCGGTAGGCTTGTTGGCATCAATTCCAGCCAGCAGCTCTGCGAGCTTGTAGGCGTACTGGACGC